TATGGTGCTTTAAGAATATTGAATATTGTCTTAGTCGTCTAGTGCTGCTCTAACAGAAATACCACAAGTGATGGTTTTAACAAAGAGAAGTTTATTCTCTCACAGTCCAGTAGGCTAGAAGTCCGAATTCAGGGTGTCAGCTCCAGGGAAAGGCTTTCTCCTTCTGTTGGCGCCGCAGGAAGGTCCTCGTCATCATCAGTCTTCTCCCAGACTAGGAGCTTCTCTGCGCAGGAACCTCCGGTCCAAAGGACACCCTGTGCTCCCGGCGCTTCTTTCTTGGTGGTATGAGGTCCCCAATTCTCTGCTTGCTTCCCTTTCCTTTTATCTCTTGTAAGGTAAAAGGTGGTGCAGGCCACACCCTGGGGAAACTCCCTTTACATTGGATCAAGGATGTGACCTGGGTAAGGGTGGTGTTACAAGCCCACCCTAATCCTCTTTAACATAAAGTTACAACCACAAAATGGAAGCCAACCACACAATTCTGGGAATCATGGACCAGCCAAATTGATACACAGATTTTTGGGGGGACATAATTCAAACCATGACATTGTACCCTTTAACCCCCCAAAAATCACATCCTTGCAACATGGAAAACATATTCACCCCATCATATCATAGCAAAAGTCTTAACTCTAAGTCCAAAATCCAAAAGTTTCTCTTCATCTGTGAAATGTAGAATGCAAGCTATCTGCTTCCAAAGGTACAATGGCAGAACAGGCACAAGCTAGACACTTCCATTACAAATGGGAGAAACTGGAGGGAAAGAAGTGATAACAGGCACCAAGCAAGTCAGCAGAACAGATTACATTAGCTGTCAAGGCTTTGAAAATAATCTTCTGTCCTCTGAGACAATTTTTACAATGGCCCTGCCCTCCAGACTCTAGGTATTGGCGACACTCTCCAGATTCTGAGTGGAGGCCCCTTGGCCCTGGTCTTCAGCTCCGCCTTCCAGGCCCACTGGGACAGCAGCTCTGCTCCCTTGGCTTTAGCCACACCACTCTGCCAGTCCATCTGAGTGGCAACTCCACCCTTAGAAGCACCAGAGGCCATGGCTCCACCCTTTGAAACCCCTGAGGTCATGGCCATACCTTTTGAGACTGAGGCAGCTCGGTTTCTCGTGTCCCTTGTCTCTTCAGCTTGTTTCCTGGTTTCTTAGCCTCTTGGCTCCTCGGAACTCACGCCCGCATCTGCCCTTCTGGGGCAAGTGTTACAAAGCTCTGCAGCTCCACTGGTAAGTGCCCGGAGGCACCCCACTCCGCCAGGAGGCCTCCTGCGTACTGGCACTCAGCTCCCTTGCTCCATGGGTCATCTCCAGCGCCATCTGGCACTGGTCTCCTGGTTCTGCTGCTGTTGGTTCTCTGCTGTTGCCACTTCTCTACAGATGCACGTTCTCTGCTGCTGCTGGTCTTCTGCCAATGCTGCTCCTAAATTTACAATCACAAAATGGAGGCCAGCCACACAGTTCTGGGAATCATGGCCCAGCCAAACTGATACACACGTTTTTTGGGGGGACATAATTCAAACCATGACAATATATTATGGACTACCAGAAGAACAAACACATCTCTCTTGGAAGAAGTACAGCCTGAATGCCCCCTAGAAGAAAGGATGGTGAGACTTCATCTCACATACTTTAGACATGTTATCAGGAGGGACCAGTTCCTGGAGAAAGACATCATGCTTGGTAGAGGGTCAGTGAAAAAAGAGGAAGACCCTCGAGGAGATGGCTTGACACAGCGGCTGCAACAATGGGCTCAAACAGCAAAGACTGTGAGGATGGCACAGGACCGGGCAGTGTTTCATTCTGTTGTACACAGGATTGCTATGAGTTGGAACCAACTCGATGGCACCTAACAACAACAACAACAACAAGATTTAGGATTTTATACTTGACGAATGGCTTTAGTAACTTGCATCAACTATCCTGCAATTCTTGTGACGGTATTGTCATCACTGTGAATCTATCACAACCTTTGACACAATAGATAACTCATTAGAATGCTTTCTTCATGTGGCCGCTGGCATGGTGTATGCTTCTGGTTTTTCTCCTCTCATTGGCTGCTCATTTTCAGTCTCCTTTGCTGTTTCTTCCTCACCTTCCTGACTTCTTAATGTTGAGGCACCCTAAGGCTTCTTCTCTGGATCCCCTATGTTCTCTGTTCTGCACTTGTTCCTTAGTATTGTCACCCTGTCTCATGGATTTAAACATTATCTATATACCGATGGCTTCCAAATTTCTAACTGCAGCTTGGACCTCTCTTCTGAACTTCTGACTCATATTTCCACTTGCCCGGTTAAGATTTCCACTTGGATGTCTAATTGTTGTTGTTGTTGTTAGCTGCCCTTGAGTCATCACCTGATTCAGGGCACCCCCATGCACAATGGAATAAAACGCAGCCTCGTCCTACCATGTTTGGTTATGGATCAGACCATTGTGACCCATAGGGTTTCCACTGGCTGATATTCAGAAGTAGATTGCCAGGAATTTCTTCCCAGTCTGTCTTAGTTTGGAAGCTCTGTTGAAACCTGTTCAGCATCATAGCATCATGCAACCCACCACTGACGGAGCTGTTATCTCAAATTTAACATGTATAAAATTGAATTCCTAAGTATCACCTCTCCAAATCTGCTCCCACCACAGCCTTCTCATCTCAGCTTTGGCAACTCTATCATTGTTTAGGGCAAAAGTCTTCTATCCTCTTAGCACAGATGTCTCTCCTAAACTCCATACTCATACATTCAGTGACCAACTTGACATCTCTGCTTGAATATCTAGTGAACATTGCAAACTTAACACACCCAAGGCTAATTCCTGAACTCTTCTTCCTCCAAACCTGTTGTATTTGTAGTCTTCCCCTTCTTGGTTGATGACAAACCTACCCTTTTAGTTGCTTAGGCCAAAAATCTTCGAGTCCTGCTCTCTTTCTCTCATACCCACATCCAATCTGTCAGTAAATCGTATTGGCTCTACCTTCAGAATATATCTAGAATGGCATCACTTCTCACCTCCTTCACCACTACCATCCTGCTTCAAACCACATCACTTGGATTATTGCCAACAGAATCCTAACTCCTTCTGCTCCTTGTTCCTCAGTCTATTCTCAATAGAGGAGCCAAAGTTGTTGTTCTTAGGTGTCATCAAGTTGGTTCCTACTCATAGCGACCCTATGTTCAACAGAATGAAACACTGCCTGGTCCTGCACTATCCCCACAATTGTTGTTATTCTTGAGCCCATTGTTGCAGCCACTGTGTCAATCCATCTCGTTGAGGGTCTTCCTCTTTTTCGCTGACCCTCTGCTTTACCAAGCATGATGTCCTTCTCCAGGGACTGGTCCCTTCTGATAACATGAACAAAGTATGTGAGACAAAGTCTCACCATCCTTTCTTCTAAGGAGCATTCTGGCTGTACTTTTTCCAAGACAGATTTGTTCCTTCTTCTCGCAGTCCATGGTATATTTAATATTCTTCGCCGACACCGTTAATTCAAAGGCACCAATTCTTCTTCCATCTTCCTTACTCATTGCCCAACTTTCACATGCATGTGAGGTTATTGAAAATATCATGACTTGGGTCAGCTACACCATAGTCCTCAAATTGATATCTTTGCTTCTTAACACTTAAAAGAGGTCTTTTGCAGCAGATTTGCCCAATGCACTATCATTTGACTTCCTGACTGCTGCTTCCATGGGTGTTGATTGTGGATCCGTTTATCATGATGTTGCTTATGGGTCCAGTTGTGAGGATTTTTGTTTTCTTTGTGTTGAGGTGCAATCCATACTAAAGGCTGTTGTCTTTGATCTTCATCAGTAAGTACTTCATGTCCTCTTTACTTTCAGCAAGCAGGGTTGTATCATTTGCGTATCTCAGGTTGTTAATGAGTCTTCCTCCAATCCTGATGCCATATTCTTCTTTGTATAGTCCAGCATTTGGGATTTATTTGCTCAGCAAACAGATCGAATAAGTAATTCTTTTAAAATTTGTCAGATTGTGTTCTTCTCTTATTCAAAACCTTCCAATATCTTCCCATCAAAATCTTTATATTAGACTAAAAGGCCTTTCCCAACCTTATCTCTTTGAGCTCACTGTCACATTGAGGGTGTAACCCTTTGAGGTTCCACCTATATATGGGGAAATGCTCACCCTGGGTGGACCCTGGCCTTTATTTCCTATTCTCTCCACCCCATAAGGCTGTAAAAACTGGGGTTCAAGTTCAGTCGGTTTGTCATATACTCTAAGGGCAAAAGCCAGCTTTGTTGTTTCACTTACCTCCATGGTTCTCTACTTCATTCATCCTTGGTTTGGTTATTGTTCAAATTTTTGCCAGTTTCACTGATGCTTTTTTAAAGAAGATGACTTTTCTTTTTACTAAGATTTTGACTGTTTTCAGCAGGAGGATCATCTTAGGAGCCTAGCACATCATGTCTCCAGAGTATGCACCATTTCGTTCTTAAATAGTGCCAGTTTTAGGACATCATACCTCTACTAGCTCACCATTCCATTATTTTAAAAATATTTATTAGCATTTTTATCTCAGTGTGTATATGTAGGTACTCACCCATTGAGATAGATACGGTAATAAATATTTTAAAAATATATATGGAGAGAGAAAGAGATGGAATTCTACTCTCTATTTGGTTAAAAAGGAGCCCTGGTGGCACAGTGGTGAAGCACTAGGCTGCTAACTGATAGGTCCACGGTTAGAACCCACCAGCCGCTCCAAGGGAGAAAGATGCGGCAATCTGTTTCTGTAAGATTTACAGCCTTAGAAACCCTAGGGGGTAGTTCTACTGTCCTATAGGGTCCTTATGAGTTGAAATCAACTCAATGGCGACAGGTTTTTCAGCTGAAAGAAGAAAATTGAAAAGGAAGAAAACTCTGGAAAATGGACGGGGGAACAGGGAAACAGGAGACAAGAAGACTCTTTAAGAGGCCACTCTGATACTCTAAACAAAATAGTGATCCTGAGGTGCTCGAATTGCGGTGGGTCGGCGAGAGTGAGATGGAGGTGGGCGCGGAAACTGTAGTTGGACAGGGCCGTCTTCGGGAGCGGCGGGGCTTGAGCGAGGCTGGGAGGCAGGAGCAGAACTGCGATGTGCAGCCCCAGTCCGGGTCAAACATGATTCCCAAACACTCCTACTGGTTAGACATCTGGCTCTTCATCCTCTTCGACCTGATGGTGTTTTTCTTCGTGTATTTTATGCCCTGAGTGGTTTGCCTGATATCTAGATTAAGAAGTTGGCTTCTGGAGTGGCTTCTGAAAATGACTACAAACTTCTTGAATAAAGAAGACAGGCAGGATTGTGCAGCAGAAGAATTTCAAACTCCTAAGGGACTTTCTTTGATTTTACACGTTTTGGTATTCATTTTGGGACTATATTAAATGGGGGCGTGATCTCACTCATTTATAACTAAATTCTTAAAACTAGACCTTTTTATTCATGTTTACAAACTTTTCAAACATCTGATGGCTTTATAGGGGCGAAATATGAAAGTATTTGTACTTAAGGGTTTAGAGTATTCATTAGTAAATATAGTCATTCTTTCATTTAATATTTTAAGAATTGGTCAAGGTTTAATAGGATGCAAATAATATGGTAAAATAAAAATATGGTGAAGTATTTACAAATTCAAAAGTACTCAAAAGCAAGGAAAGGAGTTTGAGAGAAGGAACAAAGTGTTCTTAAAATGCATTAGGAGATTATAAATAACAAAAAGCTTTACAGAAAATGCCGACCCACAATGTACTGGCTATAAGTACCAGTTGAGTTTTTAGATTTAAGGAGGACTGTGTTATAAAAAGATGTGTTACCGTTGATGGATACAAACTTACAGAAAGTAGATAATACCCAGTATTGGAAAGTTAGCTTGTATGTTCTCTTAATTGGTGGCCTCTTCTTTCTTTTTAAACCATTAAGTTTCCTAAACTAAGACTGCGTGTTTCAGGAAAAAAAAAAAAAAAAGTATGATCCTGCACTAGGAAAACGATGGCATGATCTGTATATTTATTATTAGTCTTATGACTGTGAGTGGATTTCTTAATCTCCCTAAAGCTCAGTTTTTTCGTCTGTAAAATGAGAAGAATAACAAAATCTGCTTTATAGTGCAAAAACCAAAGCAAACCTGTTGCTGTTGAGTCATTCCGACTTATAGTGACCCTACAGGACACAGTAGAACTGTCCTATAGGATTTCCAAGCTGCTGTTGGTGGAGTCCAACTGCTGACCTTTTTGGTTAGCAGCCAAACTCTTAACCACTTCACCACCAAGGCTCCCTTTATAGTGCAGTGAACATCAAATTGAAAAATGTATGCACACTGCCTGGCTCACTCCTCCTTCTCTGGTGAGCTAGGAAACACCTAACAGAGGATTACATCTATAGCAGTCAGCTGTCAAGATGGCCCCCAGTGAGCCTTGCCTCCTGGTATTCACACCCTTATGTAACACCCTCCCCCCCACCACACGTTGTACCAGGGTTGATCTGTGTGATCAACAGTGGTAGCAGAAGTGATGGTATGTCGCTTCTGAGATTGCATTATATAAGTGATAGCTTCTGTCTCGGGCACTCTTCCACTTGATGGCTCTCTGTCTCCCTGGGATCACTGGCTTTAGGGGGAGCAAGCTGCCACGTTGTCAGCAGCCCTGTGGAGAGACCTTTGTGGTGAGGAACTGAGGCCTCTGACCAACAGCTGGAGAGAAAATTCGATCTGCCAACAACCATGTGCGTGAGCTTGGAAGTCTGCTGAGTCTCCAGATGACTTCAGCCCCAGCATGCAGCTTGACTGCAACTTCATGAGTAACCCAGCTAAGCCATTCTTGGATTCTGGACTCACAGAAAATGTGAGAAGAATGTTTGTTGTTTAATGTCACTATGATTTGGGTTGTTTGTTATGCAGCAATCGATAACTAATAAAACACCTTTGACATTCATCAAATTCCTGTGACTTCGGAATATGCAAAATGTAAGAAGGGAGGAGGGTATTAGCATTTTATTATTTTCTTGGGAGGATTGATAACATGGGGGGTGGGTAGGGTGGGGTGGGGGAGGAGAGGGAGCAATCCGGTGGGAGTGGAGCTTACGAGAAGAAAGATTTGAAAAAGAAAGAAAAGGAGAGTTAGGGGGTAGATGGCCTCTAAAGACCTAGAGGACATTTGAATGAGATGTCTAAGAAAAGGCTGAGGAAATGAGGCTGTACTCCTCATGTAGTGCAAAGGAATAAAGTAGCTGGGCCAGGTGCATATGCTCTTGTGCAATCACATCCCCTACAACACGCACACACACACACACACATGCACACACACACGTTGTTCAACTTTTGGACAATTACTCAGGCCTTCCACTTGTCTTTACTGAAAACTTGTACAAATTAGAAAAACGTTATCTTCTGGATGGGACAACTTAGAATAAGGTGGCACCTCTAGGTATTCTCAGGCCTTCAGGCACATGGCTTGGCAAGAAGATTGCCCTTGGTGTGAAGGAAAAGGCAGCTCTTCCAAATGGATGTAAGCCAGTGCCAGGGCTCAGGGCTTGGCAAAGAAAACATGAACTGGATCTCAGCCCATGCTTCCCCCTTGGTCAGCTCCCTTGTGCAATGACAAGCTGCACCACTGTACTGGCACTTGCAGTTACCTGAACTCTTCTGTAAAAAGCTGCTTAAACATTCACGTGTATTTGGTTCAGGGAAGGCTGGAGACCTAGAGGTTTTTAAAATTGGTAAGGGGTAAGGATTGGAGGAAGACCCATTAAAAACCTGCAATGTGCAGATGACACAAACTTGCTTGTTGAAAGTAAAGAGGAAGCACTTGCTAATGAAGATCAAAGACTACAGCCTTCAGAATGAATTACACCTCAACGAAAGAAAACAAAAATCCTCACAACTGGACCAATAAGCAGCATCATGATAAATGGAGAAAAGATTGAAGTTGTCAAGGATTTCATTTTACTTGGAT